GGCCAGTAAGCTGTATAGACATGCTGTTATCCAGGTAATCAATTGCATAAGCGTGGTCTACTTATCGATTGGGACGTACATATTACCTGAGTGTCTCGGAATCCTGTATATCATCTGTGGCAACAGCCGTCATCTATTTTGTTACGCATGACAAAGGCTGCGCTACTTTACTGGTATAAAAGGGTTTCAAATGTGCTGTGGTCTAACACCTATGCTCATCAAACATGAACTCCATCTTGCAGTTCGCCAACATCTTACTCTTCCCGACACTGGACTACACCCGCTTGTCATTCATCTCAAATAAACACAATCTCGAAACTCATTCATCAACTTGGACCTCCAAGTCGAGGCCATATGTACAGGCAGTCCAGTCTGTACATGACTCCGCGGTAACGCGGGGTCCCGCCACTGTGCAAACCCACGCCGCTGTGCAAGACCCCGCCAATGCGCAAGACCCCTCAACTATGCATACGTGCACCACTTCACACGGGCCCGACGCGATACACCATTGTACCTCTGCACCAACCTTCTCAGCTACCACCACGCACGTTCATGCAAATCGGAATGTGCCCCTTGAAAAGATCAAGTGGTCGCCCAGGGCAAAGCTCCTGATTGGTACCAAGACTTCCTCCGCGGAGACCATTTTTTCTACTATAGCGCATATAGACCCTTTAAAGGACGTATCATATATATCGGCTAGACTAGCCAGCGACCTGAAGACAAAGATACGAGTTCAAGCGAGTACTGGTACAGGGTGCTCAGACTACAGGTGGACAACTGTGAACATTGAGACTGAAGATGGGTTTTTTTCGTTCAAACCTCTGAGGGTCAGGATTAGAAGACATTGCAAAGGCAAAGATCTGATTCTGGGGAGGGACTTTATTCATAATAATAACTTGGAGTTGAACTATACAGCAAGAACATGTCGGTGTGCTCCATTCATGTATGACATACTAACGGCATCGGCCATAGCTGCTCAGCCACAAACAAATGAAGATTGTCACAACCCTTCGCAATGGGTGGACCCTTACGAGAAGAACTTGCTGGACTTTTTTGAGCAACTGCAAGATAGAATGTTGGGGAGAGCCCAAGAGATTGCACGCTTCTGCGAGCAACCTGAATATAGCGCCAAAAAGATATACCTCCTTCCAATGATGCTACGTTGCATTGTTCAACTGCAGTGTCATCCAAGCGCCAGTGTACATGGGTTCCAGGTTCCTGAACAGTGCTTGTTAAGTATACCGGTGGAGATTAATGAGGACTGTCTTAACAGAAACCGGCATTCACGTCTCTATAAGGAGACATGGACAAGCCTCCTCGATGGCCGGTGTACGGTGGTATCCTCAAGCCCTTGTCAGATTCAAGACTTCGCCAGTACTCCAACTCTCGGAGGTGGACGACGCAACATCTGGCTCGGGTCGCGCTTATATGGTCAAGTCCTGCCAGGATATAGTTGCGTTCAGGATCTTGATTACGAATTCGCAGGACATTATGCAGGAGGAGAAGACATCATGGACATTGACGGCCTTATTGTAACTTGTATACCGCTCTCGGAGCTATGCGGAAGGGTGTCTAAGCAACACATAATCGAAAGCACTGAGAAGCACGGGATGTTCTTTGCGGCGAGAGACTCAGAAAGTAAGATCAAAGCTGTGATACGTGATCATGAGAGAGACCATTTGCCTTGTTGTCTTGGACTTCAAACAGCCTTCAGGCCTATACATGTGTCGAAATTGTATTCAAGTAGAAACCTGTACAAGAAACATGTAGATGCAGATCATGACGACGCGGTATTCCCACCTCTACCACCATCCGATGAATTGAAAAGACAAATCATAAAGGACTTTTGTGCAGACATGGATCCTAACAATATCATTGAGGATGGCTGTGCTGTGTGCGGCTGCCTCTCTCTTAGCAAGGATATGACGCCCTTAACGGAAGGACTATTCGACATGGATCTGCTGCGTGACCCTTCATTCCGTGTCACTAGAGCTGAAAGACGCACAGCAAATGATCCAATAACAAATGTCGATGGACCTGTACTAGATAAGAGGTGCAATAAGGTGTGCCGCAAATGTTTGAAGGATCTACAAAAGGATAGGATTCCAAAGCTTGCTCTTGTGAATGGGAATTGGTTGGGCGAGATTCCCCCGGAGTTACAAGGCCTGACTCTACTGGAACAGCTGATGATATCCCGCCTCCGACACAACGCTTGTGTCTTGAAGGTACATGCCTCTGGACAGTACAAGATGAAAGCCAATGCAGTCATGTTCTCTGTTCCGATGCCAAAGCTGTACAAGGCATTGCCTCCTTCTCGAGAGGAGATGGAGGAGATTGTTGCTTTCATCTTCATAGGACCTACAAGACCCACGAGTGATATGCATGCTCGTTTACCGTCTTTTGTTCGTAGAAACAAGGTTCGACTTGCATTAGAATGGTTAAAACTCAATCACGAGGATTACAGCGACCTTGAAATTTCATATGAGAACTTGGAGGAGTACCCAGAAGCTGGGCCGCCCGTGATAGAAGACTACAGACCACACTGGGTTGAGAAAGAGCTAGAAAACAAAGCTGTACATGAACTTGAAGATTGGTCTTCCGTCAAGGAGGGAGAATGTCCTCTCATTGTGCACACCCTCACGCTGAAAGACCTCATGGCACCCAAAGTAAACACGACGACGCTGCAGAATGCAGCTAAGCAACATCTTCTCAACGGGGGTTTGGCGTTGGCCATCGGTCGCTCTGCGGACCCAGAGACCATATATGGAAATCCACAGATGTACCCGAAATCATTTCCTTGGCTGTTCCCGTACGGGCTTGGGGGGGTGGGCAATAAAAATGGCTTGAAGGTAGTCTCTGATCTCGCTAGAAAACGCGCGCTTTTGTTGTATCACGATAAGCGATTTCAGACTGACCCGTTCTTCTCCTTGATGGCTTTGAACCATGAGCAGATTAAGAGTAGTACGACCGGAAGTTTCTTGACAGTGAAGAGAGGAAACTTTGATAGCATTGCAGACCGAATACTGAAAGCAAATGTAGATGTAATGGATGAGGTCATGCACAAGGTTATTAAAGGCGACAGGCTAGATTTGAGTTCTGCGGACGAAAAACTCTGTTTTGAAATCATCAACGATCTGGATCACGTGGGAAAGTATGTACAAGGGTCTCGAACACTAAAGCGGTATATGAGAAACGAGATATGGTCACTTATTGCTGCGAGAGGTGCACCATCATGGTTCATTACATTCGCTCCCTTGGATCACAGACATCCTGTAAGTGTATATAATGCGTGTGACGATACAACTTTTTTTCCACAGATACTGGCAGACGATGAGAGATCCAGACGCATCGGAAACAATGCTACCGCGTGTGCTCGCTTCTTCAAGTTTATGGTTGATTCTTTCATCCGGCATGTACTCGGTGTAGACAGCGATCATGAAGGCTTGTTTGGTCCAACTGAAGGCTACTACGGTACCGTAGAAGAGCAGGGAAGGCTTACATTACATCTTCACACGATGATTTGGATAAAAAATGCTCTAACCCCTCAACAAATTCGAGATCGCTTAACCTCGAAGGACGGCCAGTTCCAGAAAGACTTGATAGATTACCTGGAAGCCGCTCATAGGGGATCATTTCTAGCTGGAACCGCGCCAGAAGTAGAAGACAGATGGAAGCAGGTACGTCAGATTAGGAAGCTGGAAGAGGATCCATCACTCACGGTCCCAAAGGCTCCGCCTCCAGAGTGCCAAGCGCACACCGACCCTTCAAAACACCCACAATGTGTTGCATGTCAAGGTATAGAAACTTGGAAAGGCAAGTTTCAAGGAACTGTCGATGAACTCATTCACCGATACAACAGACACGACTGTAGCAGAGGTTTTTGCAAGAACCCCAGATACCCAAACTGTAAAGCCCGATTTCCCAGAGATATCATTGAAAAAACAACAGTGGATCCATCTTCTGGTTATCTCAAGATGCGTCATGGAGAACAGATGCTGAACACCTATAATGAAGTCCTGACATACCTAATGATGAGCAATACCGATGTCACCAGTCTCTTGTCAGGTACTGCGCTCAAGGCTGTTATAGCTTATACGACCGATTACATAACTAAACCAGGGCTTAGAACGCATACGATGATGGAAATCATCAAAAGCGTGTTCACCAGAAACACTGCGTTTCTTCAGGGTGATTCAAGCAGAGCTGAGAAGGCGAGGAAACTTATGGTTCAGATCGTCAACGCCTTGACGGTCAAGCAAGAGATAGGAAGCCCGATGGCCTGCGCATATCTGTTGGGTCACCCGGATCACTACACAAACTACTCTTTTCGGCCGTTCTATTGGAGGATGTATGTGGGAGAAGTCAAAAGAGTTTGGGGCCAGTTAAACACTGACACTTTGAATGAAGAGCCTTCCGTAGTCATCGCAAGGAGAAAAGATAACACACTAGTCGCTTTATCCGCTGTGGTAGATTATGAGCTAAGACCTCGCGCACTGCAATCTATGTGCTTGTATGACTGGGTGAGACTAGTAGAGAAGAAGAAGAAACCCCGCCCCGTCGGCAAGAAGAGTAAAAAAGCCGACAATCTCACTGACATCAACATGAATGGTGTTGCAGATCACGCCGGCGATGAGGAGCTCAACGATAGAGGCAAAGATATCACCTCATCACAAAATACGCTACTTGATGAGCGTGAAGATGAACAAGATGATGGTTATGACACTGATGAGACATACATAGCCGATGATGAGGTGGACAACGACTATGAACAAGATGATACCAGTGACGAAGACTCAGATGATGAGCTAGATAATAGCTCGAGACGTCGTTCTCGAGGTAAAGGAAAGGGCGAGAACATTTATACGTTTGACAAAGAGCACCCACAACATAAAACACATAGCATACGAGTTTCAGATGAGGTTAAAGCACAGATACCAAACTTCATTGGTGGGCCCCTACCTAGAAAAGATAAGGGGGACATTGAGGAATACTGCAGAGCCATGCTAACACTCTTCAAGCCTTGGAACCATCCCTTGGAGCTAAAACAACAAGGCCAGACATGGCAGCAAGCATTCAACCAGCATGTGTTCACAGAAAGGCAACAGACGGTGATGGGTTACTTTCATGTGCGCTACGAATGTAACGATGCTCGTGATGATTGCAGAGCGCAAAGGGTTGGAGCGGCAAAGGACATGGGCATGCATTGGGTCGGCGGTCAGTTTATACACGAACTCGACAAAGAGTCTTGGGCAACAGACAAGATGGACATGATAGCCGACGATGTAGCTGGTATAGATAACGCCTTCCAAGACGTCAATATAGGAAGTGGTGCTGCGGCAGGTGCTGTTGCTGTAGCTGGCATGAAACATGCACTGGAGTCGGTAGGATGGATGGATTCAATGGTACATGATGAGCAGAAAGAGACCTCTACGGATGATGCGGTGCCACAGTCAAACGAAGGAGACAATGATAGCCGGGACATAGAAGGCCTGTCAGATGACACAGGGCAAGAGACTACCATCGACCTTCCTGTCGACGCACGGACAACGAGTGGCTGGAGGGAGCTTCTAGCGAACAGTAAACGATCAGCCATTGCTGCAAAGTTCGCAGGTGCACCAGCAGTTGAAGACGACGGAGATAAAGTACTGTCTAATCAGCGTTTTTGGGAAGATGAGGTTCGTAAAGTGGACAAGACTTTCCTGTCCAAGTCATTCAAGGCAGATGTAGAGAAGGAAGACGCAGGTGCAGTCATTGACAAGATCGTTAGCGACTTCCATCTAAACGAGGAGCAAGAGAGGGCATTCAGGATTATAGCGAATCATTCTCTCGTCAATACCCTAGCGGACCCCCTGAGAATGTATATAGGCGGAATGGCTGGAACTGGTAAATCCCAAGTTATCAAAGCCGTCATCAAGTTCTTTGAAGAGAGGGGCAAATCATATGCGTTTCTCATCTTAGCTCCAACCGGCTCAGCGGCCTCCTTGGTTTCTGGATCCACATATCATTCGGTACTGGGGTTTAGGGGGACCAATAAAGCTGATGAGGATGGAGGTACAGGACCAGGCGACCCCCTAGTCAAAGGAATGGCTGCTAAGGATGCCATAAGACAGCGAATCAGGGCTGTCGAGTATGTATTCATAGACGAGATCTCGATGGTAGATTGTGGAAGTCTCTACAACATCAGCTCACAGATGAATCTTGCGATGAGGATGGACGATGTAGCATTTGCGGGTAAGAATATGATATTTGCAGGTGATTTTGCACAGTTGCCTCCTGCTTACACATCTGGGCCTGCATTGTACTCTGGAGAGGTTGGCACTCGTCTGCATACAACCAATAGTGTAGCCTCCCAGAAAAAGACCATAGGAAAGGCATTGTGGCACCAGTTCACTGTCGTTGTGTTACTCACGCAGAACATGAGACAGGTATCAAAAAGTGAAGAGGATGCTGCCTTCAGAAAACTACTCGTGAATCTACGCATGAAATCTTGTGACAGAGACGACATAGATCTCATGTATTCCAGGATTCCGCGTGCAGGTCATCCGGACATAGATCTGAACGATCCCAAGTTCATACACTCCTCGATGATCACATGTTGGAACGCAAACAGAGATATGGTCAACAGAATTGGCACTCTTAAGTTTGCGCGACACAAAAACCGTAAGCTGACCACATTCTATGCAGTGGACACGTTTTCGAATGTGAGGGTCACTGCCAAGAAATCAACCTTGGTACATAACCCCCTCCGCTCTGGTAATCTGATACCAAAGGAACAAGCGGACAAGATTCTTGAAATACAACCGGGTAGAACGATGCACATACCTGGAAAGCTGACCTTGTGCAAAGGCTTACCAGTCCTTCTTAAGAGAAACGAAGCTACGGAGCTGAACGTCACGAACGGTGCTGAGGCAACAGTCATAGATTGGAAATACTCTTTGCTCCCGGATGGGCGACCCATATTAGATGTCGTATTCGTAAAGCTTGAGAATCCCCCTTCTCCTGTGAAGTTAGATGGTCTCCCGCTCAATGTAGTGCCTATCTGTAGACAGAAACAGCTCATCCGTATTAAATTTCCTGACGACTCAGAACAGGCTGTATACAGAGATCAAGTTCCAATTCTACCTAACTTTGCAATGACCGACTTTGCCTCACAAGGCAGAACGCGTCCAATCAACATTGTGGACCTTGCGGACTGCAAGAACCATCATTCCGTTTACACCTGCTTATCTCGAGCATCTACCTTGAAAGGAACTGTAATATTGAGAATGTGCCCACTACATAAAATCACGGGCGGCTTTGAGGCCCCGGCGACGCTGCGGAAAGACAAAAAAAATCCAAACGGATTTATCAAACAGGAATTTCGTGAGCTTGAACTACTCAATGAAATAACTAAGCTTAGATGGCATGGAACTTTGATGCCTGGGGTGGGTGGTAACACGCGATCAACACTTCTGAAGTCATACATGAGTATTTACGGGAAGAAGACATGTCCAGAGAATATACATCGCGCGATCCGTTGGGGAAATGAGGGAGATGCCCCTCTGGAAGTGAATTACGACGACGATCCCGATTTTGTTTGGAAGTCTGCAGGCAAGGCCGTTGACAACAAGGAAGACAGTCCACACGATAAGCAGAGAGTCGAGACATCTACCAGGAAGCGTAAGTATTCAGAACATGAGGACCAGTCTCTTGTGCCTGTGAGAGACATCATCCGACCCGCAAAACGGCCGAGGCATCTCAGAACTCAGACCTTTCGCGGTCTCAGATGGAACTCGGCTACCCAGTCGTGTGCATATGACACCATTCTGTCTATTATATCAAACATATACTATCTGAATACACGAGAATGGGCTACCAAGATGACAGGTATAGGTTCATTACTCGAAAGCCTAGTCGGCCACTGGAAGAAAGTTCTCACAGAGGCTACTTTCTCCCATCACGACAGAGCTCGAGATTGGCTCCAGCATGAGCTCAATATGAAAGACAGTACATCGTTCCCACTCAACGGTAACTGGACAGACATGGGTGCTTTGATCGTCAATCTTTTTGAGGACCAGAGTGGGCTCAGAACGCGTGCCGATCGAATGTGCAGCTCTTGTCACACTATTGACATACCAAGCCGACTGCACACCCCGACTTGGACACTGCCTGTGACAAACGGGAATCCATCTCTCACAGCAGCAATCAAGCGCAGGCTTCATAGGACATCTGATATACCATGTGTTCGATGCTCAAAAAAATCGGTGAGCGAAAAGGTGCTCTTGAATCATGATGATCCACCCCCCTTCATTGCCATCTGCCTAGAAGATCGTTGGGATAAAGGTGAGGGAGCTTGTGAGCCTAAATTAGCAGCACAAGTAACGATTGCAGACACAGGGGGCAAGACTACGTACAAGGTGAGAGGTCTCATCTACATCTGAACTTCTGCCATCCCACTAAAGTGCTAACGTACTAACGAGTTGGCCAAATAAGCCCACGTTACGCCGCGTCCTAATGTCCTAAGTCCTAATGGTCCTAAAATTAGTGCATTTTAGTGCATTTTAGGGCAGTTAGGGGCATCAAAGAAGTTCAGATGTACTGGGATCACTCCCACTTTACTTGTAGAATGATTGGAAAGCAAAGTGTAGCCTATTACAATGACGGGCGTACTAGCGGAGTAGAGTGCATTCCAGAAGGGCGACTCCAGGATCTTCCTGATCCATACCGAGTAAAGGATGCCCAGCTCACTTACATCATTTTAAGCCTAGTATAGTATGAGAGACGCCAACGACTCAGCAGCAAATAACAGGCTGACAGCCATGACAAGATTCATCACACAAAACATCTGTGAGTTGCGAATGAATATGCTCTACTGGAACACACAAAAACGCGAACGTGACTCATCATGTTAGAAAGGAGAGACCGAACAAACCACAAGCCATGAATAACTGATACACATGCTATATGCTTGTAGTATACTAGCTTTGAGAGCACTATAAACTAGCTTATTCTATCTGGCGGTCATAGTCAAGCAGACTCCATACAATGTCTCCGCCATGAGGTTGCTCATCTTTTGGTATAAAGACAGTATCATCCCAGTACCCCTCCCCCCAAACCCACATCGCTCGCGGGATACAAGACGCGTGTTTGCGCTGTCCTGCATTCAATACGCGACCAAAGTCGAACACAAAACATTGGCCGTCTTCTGAGAGACGCATGACATATGGACAATCGCAACCCTTCTTGTCACACAGTCCATCGTGCTCAAAGCTCTCCACGGGCCAACCTCTCTCCTCATAACGGTGCTTTATGGCATGGCCATCCCCCTTCCACAGATCCGGGTTCATCTTTGTCTTGTGATGCACCAAAGTGTGCCAAGGATAGCATACCACCAGCTTGGTGCCGGTGATATAGTTGATGATGTGTGTGAGAGGAAATCTGGTGAGAGGAATCAGGGTACAAGGGGAATCCGCCTCAATCAGATCAATGTGGCGACCCTCCCGGTTATCCAGCCTCGTAACAGACTGTACACCAGCCCCATAGTGAAGCGTTCCGTGGTATGAATCAGGGCGGATCGCCACTATTGGGCCCTCCTCAGGAAAGCCAGGTCCGCCCATATTATAACACTCCAGTGCTTCTGACACGGTATATTCTAGCTGTCCCACCAGATGTTGAACCACCTCTTCGGCAGCGCCCTTTGGTGCGAATATATCTAAATCACGCACATCCATCCAGTCACCTGCCTTGCTTGTCCGCTGCATACACACTGCTAGTGCTGTGGATCCGCTGACAACGGAGCGGGTCTTATCCAGAAGAGCAAGAAAGTCCATGATGACCTCCATGAGCGGATTGTCAGTCTGTGTATGCGTTGAGCGTGTAGGGTATATATGCAGCTTGAGCTCCTGGAACACTCGATGTTCGAGTATACGACTCCCTATACGTCTCTACTGTTGATTGACTTGAGTGACTCTTTGCAGGGCGCATAGATCCAAGAACTCAAAGGTAAAGATCACAAGGTCCACGGTATTGAAGAAGGCATGGGTAGTCTGGTAGTTCCTGTAATGAGTCGCCATGTGAGTTCTGTCATAGGTGCCTGTCGTGGCTTGAATAGGCGCACCTAAAATTGGCTCTTGCGAATAAAATAAGCCAATTCCGTAGCGACTTTGAGAAGGATGCCATGTCAGAGCTTACAGAAGGTCAGTAAAAGCTTGCATATCTCAAATTCAAAGTAGTGACTGACATCGATGGATGTGTGTTGGGTTCGTTTAAAAGTCAATGCTGCTTCCCGGAGCCACACAAATGTCTTATATACTTTTGTTGTCTGCGCATGTAGCTCACGTAATGATGCCTATGAGATTCATGCAACTGCAGTCCGAGGAAACGAGATTATGTGAAGCATAACATATGTGCGGCGCATGGGAGTATTAGATACCTTACACAGCATTACAGCTTGGCGAATGTTCTGGTGCGATTCACTTACATCATAAGCAGATGTGCAGCTCAGTGTTACTACTTGAGATGATCCTATGACATGAGTCTATGCCGCGGTGCTGGCATGCGTTAACTAAACGTCAAAACCAACGTGCCCCTTGGCACAATCTCCTCGTGCAGGAGGCTGCGCAAAAGGTGGGATCTAGATATACCCGTCACTGCAGCAGGTATATAAATGCGTGATCCGACAAAACTCCAAACGAGCGCTCATATTCATCTCGTCTTGTCTGCAGTCACCTTGCCGATCAATCATCATGTCGTTCATAATCGCCATAAACATGCAAGGACCTTCCTGCTGCAAGGCATACACCTAGGAACGGTTGTGCAACTTTGGTTTGGATACTGTGGTCTGGCTATGTGATATCAAAATGCTATGCTGCTTATGCAAGCGGTCATTCATAGGCATTCTATTCTTGTATCCGGGCGCAACCCGTGGTAGACAGGGAACATAGACACGGTCCAGTCGAGATGTGAAGTGTGAAGTGAAAGACTGAGTGGACGCCGAGTGTGTTCGTAAACGCAGCATGGCTTGATTCTAGCGCAATGGAAGTAATTCCCCCAGTCGGCCAAGTCTCAAGATGAATTGATCCCGACTGCCGTGCAACGATAGACATCTGAAACAATTTGAAGTCGTGACTTACAGGGGCCGGTCTTCAGTTGTATTGTGAGGACGTATCTGAAGATCCCAATCCAGTGTAGAATGGTTGGCATATGCACAAGAAACCGAAGGTCTCGCCCATATCATCCATTACTGACAAGGAAACGTGCTATAGGCCGCCCCTCTGAGAAAGTTAGGGACAAACGGCTACACTATTTTGAATGGCCGTTGAGCCTGGAAATCTCTTCGGCAACTGGCTAGTAAGCCTTAGAAGGCAAAAGGGTGATGGCCTCGAAGGCCATCACTAGCACACAATTGATTAGGGACGATGGTGCGCTGTGGAGCGACAGCATTTGTAGAGGACTATTGCTTAGGGAACCCCCCCGGGACTCCTGCCTCAGCTTGAACGTAGATAGTTTGTGGGATAGAGCTAGCCGTAACTGATAGCGGTTGTAATTCAATACACTCCCTCCATGGGTGCTGAGATTGGCGACTCAGAATCTCCAGCGCTACATGCTTATTTGCACTGTGCCTGCATTCCTCAGTTATGGCCGTGCACTGGTTCAACGTCAAAACATATACTAACAAGCCTGCTCTAACATGCATTAGACTTGACAAAATATAGTACCAGGCTGGATATTGAGGTCAAAATGGCTGGCTGGATGGATTGAGCAGAGCGGGAATCGAACCCGCGCACAGATGTACCAAGCATGAAGCAACGAATACATCCACTCGGCCACGATGCCTACTAACCACAACTAAATCATACATATGGGGATCAGCATTTGGTGACATTACTTTGGAGATCAATACTAGATTTGACTGGTCATAGCAAGCTATGGCTATAGAAATACTCATCCATGTCGCTGTACTCTGGTGAAGTAACATACCTC